GAAGTCACACTACCAGGAAAAACTGTTACTCTTTTGCAATACATTAGCTATATTTAACAGTTGTGGGTCCTACTTTCAGATCGTTTGACAGAGTGAGTTAATAGAGTATCTCATTACTATTTGAAGAGTATTTTACTTGTAGGCAGAAAACCACAGAAATGTTCTGCTTTGATGTTATCAGTGAATGTGTATCCTTAAGCCTCTTAATTGTGAGACCAGTGGTGAAAGGAAGCAGGACCAAAAGGGAACCAGAATATTATTGTTTAAACAGACAAGAGGAATTACAGAGTAAAGTGAAACTAGAAATTATTATTTCTATTATCAAATTGAAATATTAACTGAAATAATTAAAGAACAACTATGTTTAGATTTTAATCACCACTCTTTTTTTTTTTCTTCTTAGTTGTGGCCAAACTTTGTATAGGAGTGTGTATTCTCCTTTTGAAAATAAATATTTTAATGAAAAGTAGCCAACATTTTAGCATTTCTCAATTAATTGACTTGCTAGGTAATTCATGGCTTAAAAACACATCTCAAAAGCACTGCACTGTAGAAAATATTAATGGCGTATATAAAAGCAAATTAAGTGAATAACTAGGGCACCAAGTTATTAAAATTTTCTGAAGTGTATGGTGATTATTCAGGCTTTCATGCAGCAAAAGATGTAATGGTCTGATTATCTGACTCATTTGCTTAATATCTCTACAGATATTTCAGAAGATATCTCTAGGGAGCTTGAGTTTCCTGAATTTTCTTGCTATCTTGATTTTATGTAAATACATGTAATGTTTATAACTGTACACACACACACACACACACACACACAGAGACTGAAATGTATAAACATGGCGTCAGAAGGCTTCAGTCAAACACTACGAGGAACACACGGATAGTTGAACAAATTCAGTTTGTTATTTGCTGCAGGGAGGGTGAATTCATGCCATGGAAAATCACGAGTCTTACTAAGAGGGTGTTAGAAGGAAGGTTTGGAGGGTTTGGGCTTTGGTTGGGTGACCTGGTGGGAGAGTCAAAGGAAGCAAGAACTACTTCCAGACTGGGTGCTGTTGGAAAGTGGGGCAATTCATGATTGGGTATCTCAGGGAATCTTATCTACAGGGAGGGGAAGCCGGAATGAGGAGAAGGCCGTATATAGTAAAGAAGTAGCAGTCACTCATTTTGGCTAAGCCAGGAGGTGTGTGGCATTTTGTGGGTGCCACAGTGACCCGTTTTTTTTCTGTGCTTTGCCAAAATCATGAGGCGGCCTGGCTTTCTCTCATTTTATTCTGGTCTCAGGGCAGCCTTGTGTGAGGCTGGTATTCTGGGAAATTTTTTCTGTCTCCTGGTACAGTCACATGGTCTAGCTGTGAGCCCCGGGGCCAGCTTCTCGATATCAGGGGTTGCTCTTCTTCCTTTCCTAACAGTTTCAGTCATTCTTATTCTAGAACCAGCAGATCTCACTAGTTTATGTGAGCCCCACTGCCTCTCTGCAACAAGCACAATCCAATTTTAGTTTGGGTAGGTTAAGAGAGTGAACGTAAAGGAAATATTCTCCCTAGAAATGATGGCTCACTTGTACTCAGTGGCCCCCTTTCTAAACCATTGGCTCTTTTGAGAGCTGATCCTTTTCTCCTCCCCAGCTTATGCTTGCTGATGCCTTCTTTACTGTCACTAGATGAATATTTGGCAATAAGGCAAACACAAAGCAACAATTTTTTCTCATGCTAAAAGTGATGATAAATGTGACTTTTCATTTGCATTTTGTTTTGAAAGAAGTATTCTCATAAATTTTTAATAATCTCTGAGAGAGAGAAATCCTTTCTCTACCCTTAGAATTTTTTCTGCTTTGGTCATCACTAAGCATCGCTAAAATTCTGACTCTGAACTTATTTTTTCCCCCAGTTCCTTTTTTTTTTTTTTTTTTTCCTAACTAGAAAATGAACATCTCTGCTTCCGGCATGTAGAAGAGCTTCTGTGATTCTCCACACAATTTTCTACTTGCTGTTTCTTATTCTTTGAGAAATGACCTACTTGTCTCTTTGCATGTTAGTGTAACTGGTATAAAAATTAATTTATGGAAAATTTTATGTTATACTCCATATAATCAGTTTGTTCTTATTTATCAAATGTAGGAATGCCACAAGCCACACTGGGCCATAACTGCCTATCTATCCACACATGTGTTTATTCAAAAGATCCATGCTAAGCTCATGCGGTGCTGGTAAGCTCTGCCCTAGGTTTGGACACTAGGGAAGGAGGGAGGGAGGGTGAAAATCTGTTTCTGGGTTGGTATTCCTGCTTTGCCTTGTTGGCTGGGCATTCTTGGGTGATTAGTTGATCTCTCTAAACTTTACATTCTTCCTCCATAAACTGTGGGGATCACACTAATACTTCCCCTTTAGGCTTGGAGGATGGAAAGCGATCTTCTGAGTTAAGTGTTGAGCATGGTGTTGTAACAGTTAGTGCTGAGAGACAGCCATTGTTATTTTTTGAGGATAAAGTGGTGAGTTACGAGATACTGTCCTTCCTCAAGAAACTCAAGGAGGATTGAGCGCAACTACTTAGTAACTTAACTGGGAAGACTGGAGGCATCTCTCTCATTCTTAGGAAAGTGTGGGCAGCAGGAGAAGTGCTGTAGAGAAGGAATTGTCTAAGACCCGGTTGATGAGTAGAAGTTGGCTAAGTGGTGGAGGGTGAGAGAGAAGGTGAAAGAATGAGGCTAGTGGGAGGCAGGGGCATCCCAGCATTGGGAACAGTGTCAAGCGCTAGATGTGGCAAGAGCAGGTCCTCATGGCCACAGTGTGGACAGGGAGGGGAGGCAATGGGAAGTGTGGCTAGAGGGGCAAGTCCAGACCAGATCTCAGGGTCCCTGTGTTCCAAGGTTCATACCTTGGACTTTATTTACCCCGAGGGCAACAGGAATCTGGAGTCGGTTTCCTATATCCCCACTGGTAACCTTCTGAGAAGGTACTTAAATAATTTTTTTTTTAAGTGGATAAAGAAAATTTTTTAGAAATGTTTGTTGCAACACATTTAAAAAAAAGTTTTTGTCCCTGGACCTAAATATCAGAGGATTAATTATACTCTCCAGTTCATAAGACATAGTGACAGTTGCCCATGTGTGCCCTGGCCCCTCTCTTATTTGATTTTTCTTGCCTACTCATTCCTTATCTGTCCCTTTCCCCATTCTCCTCCATTTTGAAGACCTTTCCTTCTGTGTCAGATACATGCTCTTAAAGGTACATGTATCTTTATGAAAAGATATAGTGTTGTTTTATGTGTGTTTTTAATTTATCTACTTGGTATTCTGCTGTGAATCTAGTCCTGTCTCTTTTTTTTTCTCTTGATATGAAGCACCCATGTTGCTTTGTGTACATCTAGTTCATTGCTATTTATAATAACAGTTTAAAATCATCTAAATATTGCTCACTAGGGAATGGTTAAGTAAGCTTGGTACATTAACAAACAGTGTGAAATAATGTCTCCATTAACAATATTCTGGATGCCGTGGAAAACCCATTTATACAACGTTAAGGGAGACAACGTTAAGGGAGACAACGTTAAGGGAGACAACGTTAAGGGAGACAAGCAGACAAAATTGTCTTTACTCTGTGAAACAACCACATAACAAATACATATTCATACAGCCAAGGGCTGGAAAGGATCAGAGAAGAATGAAAACAACTCTGCATGTCAGAGAGAGGGAACTGTGGGTAACGTTTCTTTCGTAGCTGTTAGTAATGATTACGGTGTGCCTAGGGATTTAGCTTACACACCATAACTTTTCCCATGGTATAATATTGGGGGAGGGAAGAGATCAGAGCAATACTAATCTTCTGACTGTTCCAGCGCTGGCATTGCGATGTCCCGCCTCAGCCAGAGAGGGGTGTTCTGCAGTCAACTTCAACTGCATTTGCCACCCCCTGTGGGAAATGGAATTGAAGTTAAAACCCCTTTCGGAAGACTGAGATCTAGTACTGCCAGATTTAACTATCTTCCAGAAAAATGAAGTGCATTAAAAGTTATGTAATGATATTCTTCCACTTGTGCAAAAAAAAAAAAATAAGACATGGACTTGTATGGTGCAAGGAAAATTTTTGGAAGAACAGAAGATGAACTGTTAACAGTAATTGCCCCCGGGGAGGGGGACTGGAAATGGAAGGGAGAGGGAGACCTTTCTTTAAAGTTATGAAGGAAGGACTTATTATCCTCCTTTTAAAGACCATGTACCGGGCACTGCTGTTTCAAACAAAATTTTATTTTTCAAAGTTTAAATCTCCAAATTTCATGACTCTTTTTAAACATCACTTTTTAAATGCAATTTTTAACTCGTTACCAAGAGTCTTCTAAAATAACAAATTCGTATTTTGAGCCTCAAATCGTACACTAACTTCTTTTTAGTGGTAAGGGCTAAACCCAGTTTGAGGACTGCTTACATTGCGTTATGAATCACGAAACAAAATATTCTGACATTAAGTTCAACGTAGAACGCGACTGCTGAACAAGATACACTGACAAGAGCGACCTCAGGATTAGGATCGGATAGGGGTCGCCCTCAACAGGGAACCTGCTGCAGGCTCTTCCTCCCCGCCGGGTGGGCGCGAATGCTCCAGCCCTCCGGGGGTGGAGGTTCCTCTGTCCTGGGGCTCCGCTCCCCGGGGACCCGGGTCTCGCCCCGGCACTCTCCCCGCCGGCCGCGCCACCAGTCGGCGGGTCCAGGCGACCCCTCCCGCCGCCGCGTCCCAGGGCAGCCGCCCTGCGCGCCGCGTCACTCGGCGCCTTCGGCGAGCACCTACCACTGGCCGCGCCGCGGAGGGGAGAGGCCGCGACCCTTCCCCGGCCGGCGGGCGACGCGCCACCCCTCGGGTCGCCTCGGCCTGGAGCTAAATTTAAAAACTTAACCGGCGCAGCTGGCTGGCTCCGAAAACGAAAGTAATTTCGTCCCGCGGGCCGCCTCCCGGGCTCTGGCGGCGCCTCCGCGCGCCGCGCTCCCCGGAATAGACCCTTCTCCCGCCATTTTCCGCCGGCTCGTGGCAGGCCCCGCGCCCCGCGGGTGAGGCCTGCCGCCGCCGGGCCTGCAGGCGTCGGGCTCGCGCCCCGGAGAAGGCGGCTGGCATGGACTGCGGGAACGGGGCTCGCGCCCGGCAACACGTGTTCCTGCTGCCAGGTAAACACGGCCGCCCGCGACAGCAGCGCGCCTCGCCCGTCCTCTTGCTCGCCCCGCCCGGCCGGGCCCGAGAGCGCGGAGCGGCGGACGGGGACGGCGCACCGGCGGACGGGGACGGCGCACCGCCGGACTTCCACTTGGAGCGGCGCGGCGCGCCCCCGTCGGCCCTCGGCCCCCGCTGCCTGACGCACGCTCCCCAGCGGGTTGCGCCTCCCTGCGCGGTGCGTAGTGGTGCTGTGCGCCCCTCGGGCCCGGGTTCGGGACGGGATTCTTTCTCAGATTGTTGCTCCTCATCTTGGTCGCTCGTTACAGCTAGCTGCCGTTTTCACAACCCAAATGCGAAAGCGCAGAAACGGACCGAGCGTCTTGCCTCCACTAGGGTGGGCCGCAGGAGGGGCCCAGGCCTACGCGCAGCGACATGGGCTCACGGTCTCGGGTCACGCAGTGGGGCCCTGGAGTGTCTGCTTTGGGGTGCAGTTAGCTGTCCCTCACTCTTGCACTGGGCAGCTGGTCCAACCTCTGGGTTCCCACTGGATCGGATCCTGCACTTTTTTATAGGGCACCAGCCCTGGGCCAGGCCGTAGGTGGAGGGAAGGAGGCAGGAGGGAAGCCAGGTGGTGGTAGGGGTTAGGACAAAGGTGGTTCAAAGACATTCCGGGGGGTAGATCATGACAGGAATGCTGGAACCAGGCTTCAGCCACCCCCTGAGTGATGAGGAACCATTCGGTGTTTGCAGGGGCTTGGGATAATGGATAGTCAGTCAGTTTCCAAACATGATGGAGTCCAGTAAATGTCAGAATGAAAGGGGTTTGGGACTAGGGAGAGCAAGTTGGAGAAGTTTGACCCCATTATAGTAGATACATTGATATGATGGCATAACATTGGAAATAAGGAATATCCTTTGTTCACTGTATTTAATTTTAGATTTAGCTCAGTAAATGCATTATTTTTACAGCAGATAATACTCTGACGATGTGATAGTTACTCAGGAACCTAGACTTTTATGATGAATATTGAAAATTATTGAAAATGTGACAGTCTGCCAAGTATAATTTCTATATGTGTGTGTTTAACTTTTTCTCCCTTTATAAAGAGGTATAAACTGTACACAAATTTAAGTGTGCATTTCGGCGAATACACCCCTGTATTTTCATCATGTATACATATGTATATACCCCTGTAATGATACCCCAAGTCAAGATACAGAACTTTTCCAGCGAGCTCATGCCTGTTGTTAGATAGCCTTAGTAGCCTTTATACTGACCTCTGTCACTAGAGATTTGTTTTGCCTGTTTGGATAAGTGTGTACTCCTTTAGGTCTGGCTTCTTTTACTCAGCCTTATATCCCTAAAATTCATCCATATTGTGTCTAGCAGTGGTTTGGTTTTTCGGGTGGTTTGTGTTTTCATTGCTGTGTGTGTCTTACTGTATGAACTTTCATGTTTATTTCCTCTACGGTGGGTGGGCATTTGGAATGTTTCCACTTTGTAACTATTGTGAGTTATACTTCTAAGAACATGCTTTTATGAGGCTTTTGGTAGAAGGAGACACTCATTTCCCTGGGGCGCATATACCCAGGAGTGGAACTGCTGCTTCTAGGTACCTGTGTGTTCAGCTTTAGCAGATGCTGCTAAACGGTTTTCCGAAGTGGTTGTACCGATTTATACTCCCACCAGCGGTGTAGGAGAGTTCCCATTAGTCCATGTCCTCACTATAGATGTCTGTATATTAAAGCCATCAAAGCAAAATTCGGGGTTTTGGCCGAATCTAGCAAAGGCTTACCTGTAAACATGCTTTATGTTAGAAAAATCCTCTTGCTTTTGTTACATCAATTCAGTGAGATATTAAGGGCAGGAACTCTAATCATTCTTGCAGAATGAAGGGCATTCTTTTGATTCAGATACACACAAGGGCCGATGATACTTTGAGTTTCTTATTTTCTGTTTGATCGTTGTTCTGTTTGATCAATATTGACATTTTCATTCTTGAGGTGTGTTTGTAGCCTCACTGTATTAAACTCAAAAACCTTCAAAAATAGTTACATATTGATTGCATCCCTGACAATCCTGGGTTTGATGTGTTTACTGCAGCACTGTGAGAATTTCAGTCAGCTTCCTGTTCCAAGCGGAGATGTCCTATGACCTTTGAACTTACTGGAGTGGCTGAGCTGGCGGCTGCGGCCCGGTGTTATCAGGCAGGCAGGTTCTGAAACTCAACTTGTTTCCTGCTCCTGTCCTTCTAGCCGGCCTTTACTGCCACCTGCAGGCTTTGAGTGTACAAACATTGGTGGATTTTCCTGCCAGGCAACAATGCTTCTCAAACTGGAGGGCCTTCCTTGATCACCTGGGCAACTGGGCCCCACCCCCAGAGTATTTGATAATGTGGCTCTGGGAGGGGGCTCGGGAATGTGCATTTCAAACAAGTTCCCAGGTGATGCTGATGCTGCTGGTGTGCAGACACCACCAGGAAGCCCTGTACAGGGACAGCCCTTGGCAGTGGGCCGGGAGGCAGGATTGGCCAGCCTCAGGTTTAGCTCTCTTTGTGGGGGCCAGAATTAGTATCATCAGGGGTGCACATGGAAGCACAGGCTGTGAGGCCTGTCATCACAAATACACATTTGTTGTTGTTGTTGTCTCTAGCAGATGAGAAATCAGCCCCAGTAAGTTGTACGATTGAGAGAAGGAGAATACATCTTGGGTGGAGTGAGCACCATAGCTATAGTGAAGCTGGGCCCTAAAGAAAGAAAACAAAAATTTGTATAAGAATTTTTCAAAAGCATTTGGTGGAAGCAGTTTGTATTCAGTTTTAGAAAATTTCTGGGATCTGAAGAGCTTACTCTGCATACTGGAATATAAGCGCATTAGCTGAGAGGCAAATAGAACTTCAGAGATTTATCCATGAGACAAATGCACAGCCACTGGACCTTGGAATGATACTTCTTTCCCGCCATTTAATTCCCGTTTGTTTATCAAGTTGCCTACAATAACATTGTGTTATATGTTGAAGAATATATTAAAAAGCACTGTGTAGGCCTCTTATTTTCAATTTCTTTAGAGAAGTCGGATGTCCCAGAAAAACAAAAGCTGGAACTTGGAAGGGATACCTGTGAAGTAGTCCGACTTAGGGACTTGATTTTCATAGGCCAGTGGGGACAGAACTGCCTCCCGTTTAAGCAAGGTAGGCATCTCTTGTAGTTTGGAATGGTCTTAAATGTTTCTCCAAAATGGTCTGTGGGTACTACCCTATTTGCAGTTTTAGTTACTATAAGAGACCATCAACATCTCTGTTTTTTAGAATTTGGTGTAAGTTTCTATCCTTCTTTGCTGCCCCCAAAAGTAAAATTTTTTAAGTCATATTTTTTAACATTTTTAACATTTAACATTAAGACATATTTTAACATTTTAACATTTAAGTCATATTTTTTAACATTTTTTAACATTTTTTAACATTTTTTAACATTTAATATTTTTTAACATTTAATCACGTTTTCTACACTGGTCAGTTCTGCTGAGTTGAAATCTACCCTAATGTGAGAGGTGGGCTGGGAACAGGTCCACGGAGCCTAGTAGGGTACAAGATTGTGTGGATTGCTGGCATGGCTGAACCTTGTGACTGCATCAGCTCCAAGGAGATGTCAAAACATCGGGAAACCCTAATGTTGTGTGAAGGATAAAAGGAAGGACAGAAATGATCTCAGGACCACTAAATTCATCTGGGTTAGCTTGGTCTGAAAGCATGTCTGAGTCAGCCCCCTGATTAAACAGCCCCCCAGATCAAAGTAGACCACATCACATCTTCAGCTGTAGGCAAATTTTGCAATGACGTTATTCCCCTTTATCTCAAAAAAAAACACGTTGAAAAGTATTTTGAGGGAGAATCCTATTTGTTATTTATTTCCCCAGAGCATGAATAGTGCCTGCTTTTGTGAGGTTAGAGGATGGATTGCTTTTTGGAAATAAGAATCACAGGTGGTCTGCCTCCCTTAGTCATCCCAGATGACTTAAGGAGCCTTTTATGAGCGAGAGCATACATTCACAAATAATATCAGATTTGTCTCTCCAAATAGAATACAAAAATAGATTTGAAAGCATTGTATGAATGCAGGCTTTAGAACTATGTTCTAATTAAATGATTGAAAAAGAAATCAAATTGAAAAAGCAAAACTGATTTTCCTATTTAAGGGTAGAGACAATTTACATTAATGTTATTTCCGATTAGAGTCCTATAGCTTTTTTGTAAGCCCACAAGAAGCACCTCTTATTTGGAAAAAAGTAACAGTTGAAAGTATGTGGTAAAGGAAGAATTGCTATAGATCTAAATGACTTTTCAGTGACCCTAAAGACAGTATGTATAACTGTATACAAGGTACATACAGTACATATAACTGTATACAAGGTACATACAGTACATATAACTGTATGTACAAGGCACAAGGTTAATCTCAGAAGAAAAATGTCGGTGGGTTTTTTTGTTCTTGGGCAACATTGTTTGCGTGCGTGCGTGTTTGTGTTTGGAAATCCAGCCTGTGAGCTGAAAGTTTCCTTACTTTCAAAAGAGCTTATTCACAGGGGAGGAAACTGTACTTAGCTGGGTGAGGGACGGGGAACAATTCAAGTGCTGATTGTAGACAACCTCTGAGTAGTGAAGCTCAGCTTCTTGGAAGATATGTCTTTTGCTGATAGTCTTCTGCAGGCCTTCTGCGGGGTGGGAGTCTCTAAACTCCCCCGCATGGAGCATGTGTAGTATTTCCCACACAAATCCTGAGGCTGGTTTTGTCTTTACAAAGTTGTTTTTGGTGGGAGCCCCACTGACCTTTCTTAGATGGTCATTAGATCTGCTCCCTTTGCTTGCGGAGCACATTCTGGAGGGGATGGGCTTAGTCAGTTGTCAGTTGGTATGATGAAGCTGAGCCTGATGCTGTCCTGCTAGTAATTGTTCTAAAAGATTTAGGACACTTACAAGAACTTGTAACTCTCATGTATTTATCCTCTGAGGCAGAA